CCCCCTTCCCAGTAAAAACCCTCCTTGCCCGCTGCTGCCCTCGCCCCCGCCGCCCCAGTAGCTCGCCGGCCCGTCGTCGTCCTCCCACTCCGGCTCGTACTCCCGCTCGTCCGCGTCCGGCAGCGCGTGCCCCAGCAGCTTCTGCGCGAGCCGCCGCGGGTCGCACGCGGGGGGCACGTCGGGCCCGAGCCCCACGTGCCGCGCGTCGCTCGGCGCGAACGCGAAGTCGCGCACGCTGATCGGGGGGTCGGGAAGCGACGAGGCGGTGGGCGCCGACTCCGAGGTGGATGTGACCTCCGACGTGGAGGAGAGAGCGTCGGCGACGTCCGCGGCGGTCGTGCTCATGCTGAGGCGGTGCCGCGCGCCCGCGAGCACGCGCGACGTGCGCCGGCTCTGGCTGTGGCTCCCGCGCGAGGACGCGGAGGACGGCGTGCGCGTGAGGCCGCCCGGGACGGCGGACGTGCGCCGCGAGAGCGCGGGCGAGGGCGGCGCGGGGCGCGTGCTGCTTGGTACATCGCTCGCTGCAGACGACGCGGAGAGTGGGAAGGACGAGGACGTCGGCGTGGAGGTCGTGGATGCGGATGAAGAGGGGGGCACGGACGCGGATGGGGGGAAGGAGACGCGCTTGGCGGAGGGTGTGGCGGGCGCGGGGGGTGTCGAGGATGGGGGTGCAGCGGTGGAGGTGAGCGAGGCGGAAGCGGGGGTGGATGAAGTCGAGGTCGAGGTGGGGGGCGAGCTGTAGCTGGAGGCAGACGAGGCGGCCGTGGGCGTGATCACAGTCGGCGTCGTCGCCGCGGGCGATACTGGCAGCCCTGTGCTCATTGCCGAGCCTGCACGTGGCGTCGCGGGCGACTGTAGCGCCCTCCCATTGCCGTTCTGCAGCGGCGTCCGCGGGTCCTCTTCCGACTCCACACGCCTCCGGGCCGCCGCGGGTACGGGCTTCATCGCGAACTCGTGCGCGCCGGGGACGGGCGGGGGGAGGAAGCTCGAGGACGGGGAGGGGAAGGGTGACGCGCTCGGTGGCGTGTCGATGCTGAGGGACAGGTGTGGCGGGTGTGGGTGTGGATGCGGGGGTTCTGTAGGAAAGGGAAAGACGAAGATAGGTAAGTTACGAGATTAATTAATTAGAGCAGGCAGAGCGGGGAGCGGGTAGCATGAGAGAGAGAGCAAAGAAACTGTGGCAACACCATGGACACGGACACGCACGACAGACTGCGATGGATGATAGGCAATCATCTCATCGTAGCATCACTTCTGTCTGTCTGTTCACAGCACCCACGACCTGCAATCCAGCCTTCGCCTGTACTGGTTAGGGCGAGCAGAGGTGGTCCGTGTGTCATCGCAGCGGACCACAGAATAGCGCCGAGGATTCCAATCATGGCTCTCCCGGCCGGTCATCACTTGTGTGGGCAGCACGATCCGCCGTCAGCCACAAAACTGGCAGCGCTCCCGGAGTGAACGACAGACCGCGGTAGATACTCGAGGCCAACATCCCTTTCCCGATCGTCTCCGGGCTCCACAACGTACGTGGACAGCCCCAGCCTCGATGACGCCCACCGCGCACCAAAGGACATACGAGAAGCGCCACACGAGCGACATGGTGCACGACCAGGCCCCGCCTCGGCAGGCGACCAGGAACCCGACTCTGTAGCATCGCACTATCCCCGAGGGAATCGTCCCTCTCCCGGTCATCATCAGCCATGTCCGGCCACAAAAACACCCGAGAACGATGATTCCCGCCCGTACAACAAATAAAAAGGCAATGAAAGCGACCGCCACACGAGCACAAGCACACACCTTTCGAGTCGGAAACCAATGCAGACGCCATCGTCCTAACTATCCTGATCGCTGTGTCCAATATCCACGCGGTGTATTCGTATGGCGCCGTTTTTCTTGTCGTTTTTCGAAGTCCGAACCAGTCGTACGAGCAGAGTCGAGATGCGCAGCCTCCTGTATGAATGTGGCGCTTTAAGTACTGTAGCCTACGCGCAACAAAGGCCTTTGGTTTCTGAGGAAATTCGCCGCAGCTGGCGAGGACAATGGGGGAGAGAGACAAGCAGTACAAAGGTCAAAGCGTCAAAGCGGAGCGCAGCCGAATACGTGTATGCAGATGGATGAGGGGTGGTGGTGGGAAAAATACGGACAAAGAAAGCCGGGACACGTGCAGTTTTGATGCGAACCGGCGTTCGCCGAGCGGGTGTTGAATTGGCTGCGGCGGGCGTCGGACGCCCTTTTATTCACTGCGCACCGCCGTTGGCCTGGCGATTCACCGACAACATTTAACAGCAATCTTGCTGCGGTGAGTCCTCGTGAGTCCAACTTTTCCGCTTTTGCTCCGCCCAGATAACAACCAGATAAGGTTTAATTTTGGGCAACGGGCGTTGTCCCAACGACGCACACCTACCTTACACCTTTCTGTAGCTTCGTCTCATTGTGAAGCGACCTCATGACGACTCCTCCGTGGTGCGCAAGAACGTATGATTTTTGGTGTTCGATTATTCAACCATGGCGGGAGGAGCTGTTCCAGCAGTTGCCGCACTGTTAAAAATCATCTCCTCATCTGCTCTGAGTCGAATCTGGGCAACTCCACAGAAGACGGAAAAGAGGGAAAAAAGAGGCTTGTCATCTTAGCTATGCATCGACGGGGAGTCGAACCCCAAGCTCATCCCTGCAAAGGCTTTATCCACTGCGCCTTTCCCTGTTAAAAGGCTATGGGTTTCCGGTACCTCACCGATACTTCAAGCACTCATTGGTGCCCGTTCTTCTGAACCAGACTTTCAAAAAACTACTGTGCACACTCGAAAATAAATAAAATTTTCGACACGCTAATGCATGAGCTCATCCTCACATGGGCGGGTCTCTTGCTCCATTGAAGGGATGTGGGTTTCCAGTGCCCCAGCGATGCTCAGGTATTCATTGGTGTCGCTACAATTATTGAGCACAGTAGGAAATGAGAAAGCACCTCAAGGAGCCTATGCATCGACAGGAGTCGAACCCCGAGCTCAGCCGTTTGTGGAAGGATGGCTGCAGGTTCAGGTTTACAATGCCCCACTGATGCTCCTCTACCTTCTTGTTTCGCTTTATTTGAGTCATACGTCAAGTGCAGAATCACGAGCTCGGGGTTCGAGCCGCCGTGCATGGCACTGTCCGACTGACTTTTTTGTCAACCTCGTCGACACAGCTCTCGAAAGTCTCATTCAAATCAAGCGGCAGCACCAAGAGGTGAAAGCATCGGTGGGGTAATGAGAACCCACAGCCTAACATTCTGTTCGTAATCCTTTTGAAAATTATGGCCGAACTCGGGGTTCGACTCCCCGTCGATGCATGACAAGAAATTTTCTGTTTTTTGGTTTGCTGCAGAAACCATCCCCCTTTTTATTCAAGGTGTGCTTCAAATCAAACAAAGCGACAAGTCTTTTTCAAATAGAGAGAAGTCGGAGATAGATAGTTGCAAAACATCGAGTCTGTTCAATGGGCGCTCGCCCCGCGGTCTGCCAGCGATACAAAGGCCGATTGCTCGGAAGGAAAATTCAAGCACGGAGGAAAAGGGGGATTCTAAACTGAGCGTCTAATTTCATCTAAATTGAGCGTCTAACGAACAACCCTATCATGACCGCCTCCGAGATTCAGCGCCCGAGATCCAAGAGGAGGCTATCCACGAATGCCGCGAACGAGTCGACGACCTCGTCCGGCGGCACTGGCGGCACGGTGCTCGTCCCCAGGGCGGTACTTTCCCGTGCGCACTATTCCAAAAACGAGAAGATAATTAGAGGTGGATGGCAAGCACGGAGGGATGCAACGGAACGAACCAAGCACGCGCCAAAGCCCCAGCTCGACCGCGCCACCGCCCAGGTCCGCATCGACGTCGTCGCCGATGATCGCGATCCTGCCACTGCCGCTGATGTCGTTGTTGCTGCCCTTATGCGCGTCGAGATCGGCGATCACCGCACTGAAGAACGCACGCGTAGGCTTGCCGACGACGTGTGCAGTCACACTCGCCGCGTGCTCGAGCGCCGCGACGAACGGGCCCGGGCCCAGCGCGAGCCCGCCTTTGGGCGCCTCGAGGAAGCGGCCCGCGTGCGCCGCGATGAGCACCGGCGCGCGCCCGGAGGCGGGGCGGGCGGGGTGCTCGCGCGCGAGGAATGCGGAATGCGGTGTTGAGGTGCGCATAGTCGAGCCGCGCGGGGCAGAGGCCCACGACAACGGCGTCGAACGGCGTGCTCTCGTCGTCCTCCGAGTCGTCAGCTAGCTCGGAGTCGTGGTCAAGCTGGAGCTCCTGGCGCGCTGAGTCGGAGAGGAGAAGGTACGGCCTCTGTTGGGTGAATACCTATCGGTTGAGAGGAAATTGAGAGGCGGAAGTACCTGCGGACGTCCATGTCCTGCATTACGCGCCGCACGGCACCAATACTCGTCCATACTTCGCGTGGTCCGCCCTCGGAGGAAAAACCAGCTCCCGCGGGTTTCAAGTCATCAGCAATATCGAGCCCAAGCCCACGAAGTCGTGCAGAAACATCGCGCGTCGATTCTTTGCTGGTGTTGCTGCAGAGGCGATAAGGGACGCCGCTGGCCCGGAGACGGCGAAACGCATCTACAGCACTCGGCGTAGATACTGAGCCAACGTGGAGTGTCCCTGAGATATCGATGAGGAGCGCGCGGAGGGAGGGGCGCGGGCACGGCATGGAGGAGCGAGTTTGCCTGCGTTTGGCCGCTGGCTTGAATTAAGCAAATATATACAAAGTTCAACGTTCTGAGGCGTATGCTAAAGTATCGATTCCGTTATCCCCGTCCCCAACTGAGGGAAGGCGATTGCTGTATAGCGGGAATTTTCTGTCAACGGGGATTCGAAAGCGCTGCTTTAACTTCACAGTGCGAGCACGGTTGGTTGTGGGTTTCCCATAGCCCGTAGATGATTTCACCTCCTACTTGTGCGCCTTATTTAAATCAGTGTGTAAGGTTACCGGAATAGTTTTAGTGTTGGACAAAAAATCTACCGCTCTTCATGCATCGATAGGGAGTCGAACCCCGAGCTCAGCTATAACAACGTGGATCTGGGGGACGAATACTAGCCTGTGGGTTTCCGTTACCCCATCGATGCTTTCTCGCCTTGTTGGTGCACCTCATTTGAACCAGATTTATAGTGTCAGCACAGAGAGTTGATGGAAAAATGAGCATCATGCCTAGCGTTCTCGGATATTCAGTTTCTGTAATGCGAAAGTGAGAATCGCCGATAGTGTGGCTCAAAAAATTACAAAGCATTGGTGGGTGGAAGAGAAAAATGGATCTGGCGAAGCTACGCATCGGCGGAGAGTCGAGGACCCCGAGTTGCTCAACCATATGCATACCCAAATCATAGACTTTAGGCTGTGGGTTTTCACTCAAACTTGAGAAAGGTTGACGAAGCCAACCGCCCAAAAAAGAATTGAGCACATCCCTTCAATGCATCAGCGGGGAGTCGAGCCCCGAGCTCAGCCATAACCAACTGGGATCTACGAGACGAATAAAAGCACAGGAGGGACTTGAAGGAGAAAAGAACTCCCAGCGTACGCGAATTAGTCGGCCAGGAGCATCCTGCCTAGCGCTCTCGGATATTAAGCTGCTGTAATGGAAAGCGAGGGTCGAGGGGCTCAACGACTTTCAGTAAAACACCGATGTGTGAGAGCGAGAGAAAAAAAAAATGCTCATTACAGCATGCCCCATGCATCGACGGGGAGTCGAACTCCGAGTTCAGCCAGGTGAGCCATTGTATCCTTTACTGTGAATTTCAGGCTGTGGTTTTCCAATACTCCACCGACGCTTTCACATCTTGTGAGTGCGCCTTATTTGAACCAGACCTTCAGGTCGGTACGGTAAAAAGCTGAGAGGGAAAAATGTCCCAGTTATGCGCGACTGCATCGGCTGAAATTTGAGCCCTGAACTTCCCGGACATTCAGGCAGGTTTCGTAAAGCGAGTAGTGCCCGTGGTGTGGCTCAGGGTTGGGGGAGAAAAGAAAAACCGGTCCGGAATAAGGGTCGATGGGGAATCAAACCCCGAGCTCAACCATTCACCTACTCTATTTCTTCAATGTAAATGCCAGGCTGCTGCGGGTCTCCAAATCCCTCATGAGCTAGATTACTCTACTAATCTCCTGCTCTGTACTTTCCACCTCCTTTGATTTTCGTTCCAAGCAATCGAGCAACGACGCCTCCTTTGGATCATCGGTAAACCGAGGGTCAAGCGGACAGATTTCAAATGAATCAGCCCCGCCGATGCTCAACAACTACCTCACTATGCGCTCTATTTGAAGCGGGCTTTCGAAATTTAGACTATGTGAATCGTACTTCAAAAGCGAACGATAAAAGGTCCCGCCCTCATTATGCATCGGCGGGGAGTTGAACCCCGAGCTCAGCCATTACCAGGACGAATAAGCTGTAGGTTTCCATCATACCCCACCGATGCTGTCTCCTCTTGGTAGTGCCTCTTATTTGAACGATAATTTCCAGGTTGGAATGGTAGGAGTTGAAGGAGAAATAACTCCCAGCGTACGCGAATTAGTCGGCCAGGAAGACCCTGCCTAGCGCTCTCGGATATTCAGCTGCTGGACTGCGAAATCGGGGGCCAGCCCATGGTATGGCTCGAGGTCTTGAAGCAAAACATCGATAGGTGAGAGTGAGAGAAAAAATGCTCATCACAGCGTGCCATCCATCGATGAGGAGTCGAACGCCGCGCTCAGCCATTCAGCTATTGTATTCTCAACCCGAAATGCCAGGCTGTGGGTATCCCTGGGTATCCGATACCCCTACTGATGCTTCCACCTCTATACATCGACAGGGCATGGGGCCTATTCGGGCTTCGCCATAACCAAAGTCGAACCCCGAGCCTAGCCTTTGCGCTGTGATATTTAATTTAAATTTTTTTCTCAGTGTAATCAGTGATCCGACCATGCCCGACCACATCGGTTGATGACATGTTCGCGAGGTCCAGGGTCCGCAAGCGAATGCTGTCAGCGGTGTCTGACGTCCTTCATGTTCTCGGCAATAATTCTCAAACATGGCACCGCCGGCCCTTACCACCCACGGCAAGCTACAAGGGCTGCCCGCATCGTGGTGTTGCGCACCACATGACGAGCAAGCCACACTTATAAAAGGAACACATTAATTAATAATAACGGGAATCAGAACAGGGTGATCTAGGGTGATCTCTTTGCCAACCATCTGATAAAGCCGATGATCTGGCGATCGTCCCAAGATCGCCGCTTTTATATCCCGGGCCCGTGTCTACTTCAAGCGACCATCTTTGTGTCCCCCCATCCCAAGATGCCCCGCCAGTCCACTGATACCCAGTTGGCCAGCATACTGGCTTGCTTGACTCCTGCCGTTACTCTTCTGAACGAACTCTATGATGGCTTCGGAACCCCTTTTGTGCAGGCCATTTCGAACACGACTCTCGCCTTGATTTGCGCAGTGCAGGTAATGGATGGCAGCGAAACAGACCGTCATGCTGATTTCGATTTCAGAACGTGAAGAGGAACAAGCGTGAATGTATCCTGTTGGTGGAGAACATCCACACGCTAGTGTATGCCATCATCCAACTTCATATCAAGTCGGAGCCCGCAGGGAGCCTACCGCCGGCGACCTTGGACCATATTGGGAATTTCACGAAGTATTGCCGGTCTGCAGGAAATTTCTTAGATGACTGACAAAATTTGCGCAGGACGCTGCACAAGATACATACTTTCTGCGAAGCCCAGCTTGATACGAATCCACTGCGACTACTCTTCCGCCACAATGAGAAGAATACTCTATTCAATGAGTGTCTTGCGGGATTACAGCAAGCTTCGGAAGTCTTCAAGGCATGTCTTGTTCCACAACGTATTAACGGACATGCATAAATTCGCTTAAATCTAGATTGAGAGTGGTGCCATGATTTTGACAGATACCCTGAAAATGCAGGAGGACTCGCAAAAGCTACATGAAGAATTACTGGACTTGATTTTGAAAACGGCAGATGAACCAAGCTCAGATCAGTCATCCTCTGTATGTCCCTCGTCCTATCCTACGGCAAACCAGCTCATCCGACAATCAGATGTACTACATGAGTCACGGCTCACACTCTAGGTACCTAGTTATGCTCCTTCCGTCCTTGCTCAAAGTTGAACTTACTGATTCACAGCTCAATTTCATTTGCTATGCTGCCGGCAAAGCCGAAAATCTTTCATGGCCGGGAATTGGAACTGAATGACATCGTGAAGAGCCTGAATGAAGAGGTACCTAGAATCGCAATCCTGGGGCCCGGCGGAATTGGGAAAACTAGTCTTGCAAAAGCGGCACTCCATCACCCCGACATCTGTGCGAAATACGAGACTAGGCTTTTCGTGGCCTGTGATCCAGTTACTACCTCGCTTGACCTTGCAGCTCTGCTCGGGTCCACTCTAGAGCTGAAACCTGGAAAGGACCTCACCAAACCTGTTGTCCAGTATTTTTCCAGAGGACCACCTTGTCTTTTGGTCCTCGATAATTTGGAAACATCGTGGGAGAGAGCAGAGTCTCGCCTTGGGATTGAAGAGTTTTTGTCGTTGCTCACTGATGTTCCACACCTCGCACTGATAGTAAGTGCTCATCATGATAATATCACCTTCCCTAATTTTGGCTAGATCACAATGCGAGGTGCGGAGAGGCCAGCCAAAGTCCGCTGGACTCGCCCGACGTTACCTCCTTTGAAGCGGTTATCTGATGATGCTGCTCGGGAAACCTTCTGTGATATCACAGATGAAGTTCATGATAACCAGGACATTACTCAACTTCTCGAACTTACAGACAACATGCCACTTGCAGTGAATCTCCTTGCTCATCTGGTTGACTATGAAGGCTGCTCGAGTGTCTTGAGCCGCTGGGAGATAGAAAAGACCTCTCTAATCTCGGAAGGGCACGGCAAGAACTCGAATTTGAATTCATCAATTGCTGTCTCACTCTCAAGCCCTCGGGTGACATCTGGAGCCAAGGAATTACTGGGCCTTCTCTCAATTCTGCCTGATGGCCTATCGGATGTTGAGCTCCTTCAGAGCACTCTTCCCATCCAGAATATCCTCACATGCAAGGCTGTGCTGCTTCAGACATCTCTGGCATATGTCGACAATATCCGGCTCAAAGTACTTGTCCCGATTCGGGAATACATGCAGCAGTTGTACCCAACTTCATCGTCCCTGGTCCAACCACTTCAAAATTACTTCCATTCGCTTCTTGAGCTGTATCGGAACCACCGTGAGGTACAGACGAAGGGGGTGATCAGCCAAATTACCTCCAATCTTAGCAATCTTCACCAGATATTGCTTCATGGTATGCATAAGGACAGTGCAGATCTTGCAGAGACCATCTACACTGCACTCCTCTTCAACCAATTTCGACGAACTATTGGCCATGGCCCACTTATGCTCATGGAAAAAATCCCGGCCATGTTCACTCAGCTGGGTAACCACAAACTGGAAACACAGTTCATCATCGAGGTTTTCCATACATGGGACTACTGCTCAACGTTCGGTGCGGAACTATTGATTGAACAGGGCAATAATCACTTGTCAAATTTCAATGACCCACGGCTCGAGTGTGAGTGACATAAGTAGTTCGTTTGACCCACTGTCTAACACATGATAGGTAAATTTTATGCAGCCCTGGGCCTCTATTATCGATACATGAAAAACACTGCCCGAGGAATGCAGTTCCTGGAGAAATCACTCACGGTTGCGAGAAGTTCGGGACACACTGTGGAACAGGCTCATGTATTGACTCAGATAGCTGAGCTAGAGTTCGCACTTGGGAATTATCCGATCGCGCGGATGCATGCCCATGAAGCACAACACATTTCCCACATGTCTGGAAATTTATTTGTAGAAGCACGAGCACTGGGAGTCGATGCTCGCTGCTGTGGAAGGCTAGGGAAAAATGAAGACAACATTTTGTTGTCTCAGAAAGCCAGAGAGCTTTTGAACCTCTGTGGCATGCATGGTACCTCCGTGGATTATTGGATTATGCAGAATGAGACCCATGCCTACTTTTTCAAATCCGAATATGCAGCAGCGCACAAGAACCACACCGAAATTGTGCGGAATACATCTGCTCAGAAGGATCCCTGGAATTATGGCATGAGTCTGCTCAACATCGCCGAGATTGATGTCATTACCGGGAGAGCAGAAGCAGAGGTGCATTCGAACCTGACCAAAGCGAAGTCGGCTCTCAGCACTGTCCATTTCCTCATGGGCGTAGCATATTGTGAGCTAGTACTAGCGGACCTTCAGCTGAGAGAGGGGAACACTGCAAGTGCAAAAGCCCAATTTCAGCAGCATCTGAGTTCATCTTGGGGGAAAGATATCGACACTGTGATCTACTGCTTAGAACGACTGGCTGATATTCGGCGGTGGAGTACGGAAGTGGAGTGGCCAGCCAAATGGACAGTGTTATATCTCGGATGTGCACAAAAGTCGCAGCGGAACTTTGAGCTCCACAAGGCTCTTCAATTCTTAGGAGACATATTTCTTTCCCAGGATGATGAAGATACAGCCTATAGTCTTTTCACTGTGGCACTGGACGGATTTACATCCATGGGTGTTCATCGCAGCAGGGCCGATTGTATGCTTCGCTTGGGTGATATTGAAAAGCAGAGAGGAGAAATCACCAAGGCAGTCAAACTTTGGACAGAGGCTCGTCCTTTGTTCGAACAGTCATTGCAAGGGAAGGATCTTGCACAAGTCGACGCCAGGCTCCGTAAAGCAAAGAATGTCCAGTAGATGATACTTTAAACGAGTTGTGTATGTAGCCTGAGCATAGAAGCTACCCCAATATACTTTTCGTTGATTTTCCCTTCGTCCCGAATAACTATGTGCGAGGGATGTGTATGATGAGAGAGTCATTCTCGGAGTTCAAGCTTTCAAGCGCAGACACAATTGAATCCAAGGTTGAGCTGAAATAGGCTTGAATTTCAGTGAAGACGTCGGGCCTTCACCTTCAATAGTGAAGCGTGGGGAGGTCCTTCGCAAAACTGAACGGGCCATCACGTGCAGGTACCGAGCGCCGAATGCGCCGAATTGCCCGCGGAGTTATATGTAAACGTAGCTTACCAAATCTCGCCTCGCAACCTTGGCCCAAAACGACCAGGCGACGACATCGAGCTCCTCGATACATACCCCCGTTTTTCTGACCCGACCTCTGTCTCAGCAATCCGGGAAGCTTCGACGAATTATCCGCCTGTGTCCCCTGGAGGACACGTTTGGTGAGTGCGCGATTTCATGATTTTTTCAAGGATTTATGGGAAGCACGAGCATGCTACAGGCTCTCCGGCTTCTGCAGGATGAAGTGTCCTTGCTTGCTTTGCTTTTGTCGCGAAAAAAATGCGGATTCACGTCCGCTGTAGCATGAGCTCAGCTGAACTTCGGCTGGATGCACTTCCTGGGTGGCAAGCCCACTTCA